AAAATTATTTAAATGTCCACATATTCAATTTAAAAATTTAAATAATGAAAAGTTTAATTTATTTAAAAAATCAAGTTTAAATGATGGAAAAGGAAAATTAGGTCGAGAATATAACAAGATATAAATTTTAAATAAACATATTTTAAATTAATAAATTATTTTTTAATAAAATTTTAATTTATTTAAAAAATTCTCTTAAGTGACCTCAGCATCCAAATCAGACAATAATTTCCGAATTATTCCTCCAAATCCTCAAAGTTTGTTAATAATTTCTAATCTAATATAATATCCTTCCTTTCTATATTTTAATAAATTAAAGACATATACTACTAGGGATGAGATAGGTTGAGAAAAATTCAGGTCGGGTCATTTCAGATATTTGAATATTTTGGGATTTTTTACATCCTATTAATATCAAGCCAAATTAGTCTACTGTCTCCTAAAAAATACTAATAAAAAGTTAAATAACAAAAAAATCTTTCAGAATATACCTACAAACAGATTCATACTTTAATACTACTGCTTGTTTGCTTTGTTCACAAAAATTTTGTGAATTTTCAAGAGGCATCTTTTGATTATATTATTAATAAAGCAATGCAGAAAAGATATAAAGAAGAATTTATTAATGTATTCCGTATGATGCTTTCAAAGAAAGAACAATCAATAGCTTCTGATTTGAAAGAAATATTTAATTTAATTGAAGATTCTATTAAAGATTTAGAGGATTCTTCTTTAATTATTTCACAAATTTCTTATTGGGCATTAACAACTTTCGTTGTAAATGCTTTATTGAGTTTAAATTTAAATGAGAAAAAAGCGTTAACAAAAGAATTTGGAATTGAAATTATTGAATCAACATCAATTTTGCTTTCAATATTACAAAAGTTTGTATTTACGTCAAATCCTAAAAAGCGAAATATCCTAAAAATAAATGTGCCAAGGCCATTAAGAATCGCAAAATAGACTTAAGTTCATTAAGCACTAAAAGAAATAGGCCAGGAAGTTTTGACCTCTAAACAGAATTAAACAAATTCAAACACGATTCAATTAAAAACGTTTTTAACTGTAGTAATTATCCAAAATAATAGAAAGTAAATTGTATGTAATGTAAAGTTGGAACGGATTAAACGAAGGAGATTGGGGAATAGTCGGACTATTATGATCCAGCAAGTCTGGCATCGACGGAGCTTTTATATAATCATAAGCCAACTGATTATATAGTAATTTATCAAATTTAATCCTTTAATTTTAGATCCAATATTTCAGAACTTAATGCAATAATTAAAGTCTCCTTGGATGTCTCATATAGTCTTAAAAATATATTTGCGTTGAATGAGGATTTTATTGATGGAGGAATTAAAATTATATATAATAAAGAAATAGATGATTATAATAATTAATCAGAATATTTTAAAGTTAATTATTTTTAAATTATTTATTTTTAAATTTTATTTTAAATTTAATTTTAAAAATTATTTTTAAATTTTATCAATCATTATTTTTAAAATACAATCTAAAGTAATTTTTCTTCTGTCCCACTCTTTTGAATATTTTGAATATATTTTCTTTCCATTTCAACTTTTTTATAATTTAAATTTTTTCTCAATTCAGTCAATCGTGTAATTGTTTGCCCTACATATACCTTGCTAATAAAGAAGACAATTGATAATAATGAATTATTAATTCAGATAAATGACAATAAAATGAAAGGGATTAGGTGGAAGGATTTAATTTAAATATAGTTTTGGCTAGAAAGATATGATGGTTTTTTGAGTTCTTATGTTATCATTAGGAATCGCATTTTTAGTTTATAACCGTTTTTAGCGAAATAGTCATGATAAATTGAGTTTAAATTTGTTGTTATTTTTTAAAAATCCTTCTATACAAAGAGTTTTATCATCTATTTAAACCTATTTTGGCTTTTTTTAACCTAAACTGGGCTGTCAACTTTTATATTTATGGCCTATTGGATAAGTTATGAATGACAATTTGGCTCTGATGTTATTTATATTTTAACGAATTTAGATAATTATAAAAATTTAAAAAAATTTGTAATATATTTATCTATTAACTATTTATTTTTAATTTTAAATAAAACAAATATTTAAATTTTAATACTACAATTTAGCGAATAAAAATAAAATTCTTTAAAATAATATCTTTAAAATAAATATAAAATTTATTTCTTAATTTTATTTTTCACCAATTAGGTAAATTATCTTTTTTGATATATTTAATTCCAATAATAAAATCTTCTTCTAAAGGTGCAGATAATATATTTTTTATTTCATTTAAATAATTATTTTTTAAATTTTCTTTAACTTCTTTTAATTCTTTATCTAATTTTTCACTATTTATTTCCAACATATTTAACTCTTTATTCCCACAATAAAAATATTTATTTATTTCCAAAATTCAAAAGCGACTGAAAAATAATCAAAATTTGACGGTTTAAAAAGAGTGAAATTTGCGTGGGAAATATATATTAATCATAAAAAATATATTTTATTTATTTTATTCTCCGCCCAAAAAATTCTTTTCAATTTCTTTCCAAAATTTCATTCTGTTGGAAACACTCCCGGCCACCAATTAGTGTCGTCTCGGAGCATCCAATGCCAAAAGAATGAATTGTGCCATTTGTAGTAAAAATGCTGAGATCGTGGGGATATGTGTCCACTGTTGGCTCATTCTTGTCAATTGTGATGCGACGCTGCGCATTGCTGTTTGTGTGTCTTGGGTGTATGTGTTGGTGGTTGTGCTGGTCGTCCGCTGCATTAATGTGTTGCTACTGCAGGGTTGTTTAACGGGACAATATTTGGCAAAGTGGTCTGAAGCGTGGCAAATGAAACAATTCATTCTTTTGGCATTGGATGCTCCGAGACGACACTAATTGGTGGCCGGGAGTGTTTCCAACAGAATGAAATTTTGGAAAGAAATTGAAAAGAATTTTTTGGGCGGAGAATAAAATAAATAAAATATATTTTTTATGATTAATATATATTTCCCACGCAAATTTCACTCTTTTTAAACCGTCAAATTTTGATTATTTTTCAGTCGCTTTTGAATTTTGGAAATAAATAAATATTTTTATTGTGGGAATAAAGAGTTAAATATGTTGGAAATAAATAGTGAAAATTAGATAAAGAATTAAAAGAAGTTAAAGAAAATTTAAAAAATAATTATTTAATCTTTATCTAATTTTCACTATTTATTTCCAACATATTTAACTCTTTATTCCCACAATAAAAATATTTATTTATTTCCAAAATTCAAAAGCGACTGAAAAATAATCAAAATTTGACGGTTTAAAAAGAGTGAAATTTGCGTGGGAAATATATATTAATCATAAAAAATATATTTTATTTATTTTATTCTCCGCCCAAAAAATTCTTTTCAATTTCTTTCCAAAATTTCATTCTGTTGGAAACACTCCCGGCCACCAATTAGTGTCGTCTCGGAGCATCCAATGCCAAAAGAATGAATTGTTTCATTTGCCACGCTTCAGACCACTTTGCCAAATATTGTCCCGTTAAACAACCCTGCAGTAGCAACACATTAATGCAGCGGACGACCAGCACAACCACCAACACATACACCCAAGACACACAAACAGCAATGCGCAGCGTCGCATCACAATTGACAAGAATGAGCCAACAGTGGACACATATCCCCACGATCTCAGCATTTTTACTACAAATGGCACAATTCATTCTTTTGGCATTGGATGCTCCGAGACGACACTAATTGGTGGCCGGGAGTGTTTCCAACAGAATGAAATTTTGGAAAGAAATTGAAAAGAATTTTTTGGGCGGAGAATAAAATAAATAAAATATATTTTTTATGATTAATATATATTTCCCACGCAAATTTCACTCTTTTTAAACCGTCAAATTTTGATTATTTTTCAGTCGCTTTTGAATTTTGGAAATAAATAAATATTTTTATTGTGGGAATAAAGAGTTAAATATTTTATTAAAGTAAGGGGCTTTAGAGATTTTTTACCCTATAAGGAAGGAAGAATAATTAAAAATATATAAAATTATTTTTCATATCACCAATTAGGTAAATTATCTTTTTTGATATATTTAATTCCAATAATAAAATCTTCTTCTAAAGGTGCAGATAATATATTTTTTATTTCATTTAAATAATTATTTTTTAAATTTTCTTTAACTTCTTTTAATTCTTTATCTAATTTTTCACTATTTATTTCCAACATATTTTTTAATTTAATTCCAATTAACCAACTTGTACATATCCAACCCTAAAAAATAAATATTTATTTAATTTAAATTCCAAAAATACTTTTAATTTTTTCCCATCTCTTTCGGGCATTCTTTATAATTTAATAATTTTAAAGGTTTAACATGACAGTAGTCTATTTCATCTACTTTTTCAATATTTTCCATTAATTCTGTACGCAATTGTGTTTCAACAAATTCACAAAATTTATATCCATGCAGAGAAGAAGGTAAATAAGAGCAATTAATTAGTAGAAATTGTTCATACTTAAAGTTGAAATTTAGATTATAAATACTTAAAGTTGAAATTTAGATTATAATGAAATTTAGATTATAAAAAATATATTATCTGCACCTTTAGAAGAAGATTTTATTATTGGAATTAAATATATCAAAAAAGATAATTTACCTAATTGGTGATATGAAAAATAATTTTATATATTTTTAATTATTCTTCCTTCCTTATAGGGTAAAAAATCTCTAAAGCCCCTTACTTTAATAAAATATTTAACTCTTTATTCCCACAATAAAAATATTTATTTATTTCCAAAATTCAAAAGCGACTGAAAAATAATCAAAATTTGACGGTTTAAAAAGAGTGAAATTTGCGTGGGAAATATATATTAATCATAAAAAATATATTTTATTTATTTTATTCTCCGCCCAAAAAATTCTTTTCAATTTCTTTCCAAAATTTCATTCTGTTGGAAACACTCCCGGCCACCAATTAGTGTCGTCTCGGAGCATCCAATGCCAAAAGAATGAATTGTGCCATTTGTAGTAAAAATGCTGAGATCGTGGGGATATGTGTCCACTGTTGGCTCATTCTTGTCAATTGTGATGCGACGCTGCGCATTGCTGTTTGTGTGTCTTGGGTGTATGTGTTGGTGGTTGTGCTGGTCGTCCGCTGCATTAATGTGTTGCTACTGCAGGGTTGTTTAACGGGACAATATTTGGCAAAGTGGTCTGAAGCGTGGCAAATGAAACAATTCATTCTTTTGGCATTGGATGCTCCGAGACGACACTAATTGGTGGCCGGGAGTGTTTCCAACAGAATGAAATTTTGGAAAGAAATTGAAAAGAATTTTTTGGGCGGAGAATAAAATAAATAAAATATATTTTTTATGATTAATATATATTTCCCACGCAAATTTCACTCTTTTTAAACCGTCAAATTTTGATTATTTTTCAGTCGCTTTTGAATTTTGGAAATAAATAAATATTTTTATTGTGGGAATAAAGAGTTAAATATGTTGGAAATAAATAGTGAAAAATTAGATAAAGAATTAAAAGAAGTTAAAGAAAATTTAAAAAATAATTATTTAAATGAAATAAAAAATATATTATCTGCACCTTTAGAAGAAGATTTTATTATTGGAATTAAATATATCAAAAAAGATAATTTACCTAATTGGTGAAAAATAAAATTAAGAAATAAATTTTATATTTATTTTAAAGATATTATTTTAAAGAATTTTATTTTTATTCGCTAAATTGTAGTATTAAAATTTAAATATTTGTTTTATTTAAAATTAAAAATAAATAGTTAATAGATAAATATATTACAAATTTTTTTAAATTTTTATAATTATCTAAATTCGTTAAAATATAAATAACATCAGAGCCAAATTGTCATTCATAACTTATCCAATAGGCCATAAATATAAAAGTTGACAGCCCAGTTTAGGTTAAAAAAAGCCAAAATAGGTTTAAATAGATGATAAAACTCTTTGTATAGAAGGATTTTTAAAAAATAACAACAAATTTAAACTCAATTTATCATGACTATTTCGCTAAAAACGGTTATAAACTAAAAATGCGATTCCTAATGATAACATAAGAACTCAAAAAACCATCATATCTTTCTAGCCAAAACTATATTTAAATTAAATCCTTCCACCTAATCTCTTTCATTTTATTGTCATTTATCTGAATTAATAATTCATTATTATCAATTGTCTTCTTTATTAGCAAGGTATATGTAGGGCAAACAATTACACGATTGACTGAATTGAGAAAAAATTTAAATTATAAAAAAGTTGAAATGGAAAGAAAATATATTCAAAATATTCAAAAGAGTGGGACAGAAGAAAAATTACTTTAGATTGTATTTTAAAAATAATGATTGATAAAATTTAAAAATAATTTTTAAAATTAAATTTAAAATAAAATTTAAAAATAAATAATTTAAAAATAATTAACTTTAAAATATTCTGATTAATTATTATAATCATCTATTTCTTTATTATATATAATTTTAATTCCTCCATCAATAAAATCCTCATTCAACGCAAATATATTTTTAAGACTATATGAGACATCCAAGGAGACTTTAATTATTGCATTAAGTTCTGAAATATTGGATCTAAAATTAAAGGATTAAATTTGATAAATTACTATATAATCAGTTGGCTTATGATTATATAAAAGCTCCGTCGATGCCAGACTTGCTGGATCATAATAGTCCGACTATTCCCCAATCTCCTTCGTTTAATCCGTTCCAACTTTACATTACATACAATTTACTTTCTATTATTTTGGATAATTACTACAGTTAAAAACGTTTTTAATTGAATCGTGTTTGAATTTGTTTAATTCTGTTTAGAGGTCAAAACTTCCTGGCCTATTTCTTTTAGTGCTTAATGAACTTAAGTCTATTTTGCGATTCTTAATGGCCTTGGCACATTTATTTTTAGGATATTTCGCTTTTTAGGATTTGACGTAAATACAAACTTTTGTAATATTGAAAGCAAAATTGATGTTGATTCAATAATTTCAATTCCAAATTCTTTTGTTAACGCTTTTTTCTCATTTAAATTTAAACTCAATAAAGCATTTACAACGAAAGTTGTTAATGCCCAATAAGAAATTTGTGAAATAATTAAAGAAGAATCCTCTAAATCTTTAATAGAATCTTCAATTAAATTAAATATTTCTTTCAAATCAGAAGCTATTGATTGTTCTTTCTTTGAAAGCATCATACGGAATACATTAATAAATTCTTCTTTATATCTTTTCTGCATTGCTTTATTAATAATATAATCAAAAGATGCCTCTTGAAAATTCACAAAATTTTTGTGAACAAAGCAAACAAGCAGTAGTATTAAAGTATGAATCTGTTTGTAGGTATATTCTGAAAGATTTTTTTGTTATTTAACTTTTTATTAGTATTTTTTAGGAGACAGTAGACTAATTTGGCTTGATATTAATAGGATGTAAAAAATCCCAAAATATTCAAATATCTGAAATGACCCGACCTGAATTTTTCTCAACCTATCTCATCCCTAGTAGTATATGTCTTTAATTTATTAAAATATAGAAAGGAAGGATATTATATTAGATTAGAAATTATTAACAAACTTTGAGGATTTGGAGGAATAATTCGGAAATTATTGTCTGATTTGGATGCTGAGGTCACTTAAGAGAATTTTTTAAATAAATTAAAATTTTATTAAAAAATAATTTATTAATTTAAAATATGTTTATTTAAAATTTATATCTTGTTATATTCTCGACCTAATTTTCCTTTTCCATCATTTAAACTTGATTTTTTAAATAAATTAAACTTTTCATTATTTAAATTTTTAAATTGAATATGTGGACATTTAAATAATTTTATAGAAAGATTGTGATGTTTTGAATTTCCAACTTGACTATTAAATGTTATTAATTGAATACCAGGAAGTGTTACTGAACTGGTTTCAGTTCACTAAATTCGGTTCGAGCCTTGGAAACAACTATAGTTTAGCCACCATTGAAAAAATTGTAAAGGAAAATTTAAAAGACATGGAAATTAATATTAACGACCAGGCCGCCAGCATAATAAAAATTGCTGAGAAACTGGACGAAATTGTTACTAACAAAAGTTTGGAGGAGTTAACTCTGGGAGGCACCCCAGAACCTGAAAACCAGGTAAATATGGGAGAAAATAATAATAACAATGAATTATCCCCAAACCCTCAGATTGACCAAAACGAAAATCAAAATGGTCGAAATGAGAATGGTGGCCAACGTGGTACTCGTAAATTTAATTATTATAACCGCGGTCATAATCGCGAGCGAGCCCGTTACTTCTATGCAGCACGACAGGAGAAACGTCAGTCCGGTCACTGTCACTGCCACCAACACAACCACCGCGGAAATAATTCAGGCAAACGTTTTCGTCCTCGCGGCGGTCATCATCACTGATAGATTTTAAAGAGGGAAGGGATGCTGCATCTCCCAAACAAACAAATAAAAATGGCCCTTTCCCAAGAAATATAAAAGTAAATACTTAAATGATAAACTCTGATAAACTCTTGACCTTCCATGTCATAAAAGCATTTAGGATTTTCCCGACTAAATATTTGCCCAAAAACCCCTTATCATATATTTTGTTTTCCACTTTTATATATAATTAATTTTGACCTAGCCATCCTCATGTTTGTTTAAGAATCATATATATACTCCACCGCTATTTAACTTAATAACTTATTTTGAATTCAATATAGACTAATTATAAATTTTAATCGATCTAAATAAATATTTTATTTGTGAACTAAACTATAGTTGTTTCCAAGGCTCGAACCGAATTTAGTGAACTGAAACCAGTTCAGTAACACTTCCTGGTATTCAATTAATAACATTTAATAGTCAAGTTGGAAATTCAAAACATCACAATCTTTCTATAAAATTATTTAAATGTCCACATATTCAATTTAAAAATTTAAATAATGAAAAGTTTAATTTATTTAAAAAATCAAGTTTAAATGATGGAAAAGGAAAATTAGGTCGAGAATATAACAAGATATAAATTTTAAATAAACATATTTTAAATTAATAAATTATTTTTTAATAAAATTTTAATTTATTTAAAAAATTCTCTTAAGTGACCTCAGCATCCAAATCAGACAATAATTTCCGAATTATTCCTCCAAATCCTCAAAGTTTGTTAATAATTTCTAATCTAATATAATATCCTTCCTTTCTATATTTTAATAAATTAAAGACATATACTACTAGGGATGAGATAGGTTGAGAAAAATTCAGGTCGGGTCATTTCAGATATTTGAATATTTTGGGATTTTTTACATCCTATTAATATCAAGCCAAATTAGTCTACTGTCTCCTAAAAAATACTAATAAAAAGTTAAATAACAAAAAAATCTTTCAGAATATACCTACAAACAGATTCATACTTTAATACTACTGCTTGTTTGCTTTGTTCACAAAAATTTTGTGAATTTTCAAGAGGCATCTTTTGATTATATTATTAATAAAGCAATGCAGAAAAGATATAAAGAAGAATTTATTAATGTATTCCGTATGATGCTTTCAAAGAAAGAACAATCAATAGCTTCTGATTTGAAAGAAATATTTAATTTAATTGAAGATTCTATTAAAGATTTAGAGGATTCTTCTTTAATTATTTCACAAATTTCTTATTGGGCATTAACAACTTTCGTTGTAAATGCTTTATTGAGTTTAAATTTAAATGAGAAAAAAGCGTTAACAAAAGAATTTGGAATTGAAATTATTGAATCAACATCAATTTTGCTTTCAATATTACAAAAGTTTGTATTTACGTCAAATCCTAAAAAGCGAAATATCCTAAAAATAAATGTGCCAAGGCCATTAAGAATCGCAAAATAGACTTAAGTTCATTAAGCACTAAAAGAAATAGGCCAGGAAGTTTTGACCTCTAAACAGAATTAAACAAATTCAAACACGATTCAATTAAAAACGTTTTTAACTGTAGTAATTATCCAAAATAATAGAAAGTAAATTGTATGTAATGTAAAGTTGGAACGGATTAAACGAAGGAGATTGGGGAATAGTCGGACTATTATGATCCAGCAAGTCTGGCATCGACGGAGCTTTTATATAATCATAAGCCAACTGATTATATAGTAATTTATCAAATTTAATCCTTTAATTTTAGATCCAATATTTCAGAACTTAATGCAATAATTAAAGTCTCCTTGGATGTCTCATATAGTCTTAAAAATATATTTGCGTTGAATGAGGATTTTATTGATGGAGGAATTAAAATTATATATAATAAAGAAATAGATGATTATAATAATTAATCAGAATATTTTAAAGTTAATTATTTTTAAATTATTTATTTTTAAATTTTATTTTAAATTTAATTTTAAAAATTATTTTTAAATTTTATCAATCATTATTTTTAAAATACAATCTAAAGTAATTTTTCTTCTGTCCCACTCTTTTGAATATTTTGAATATATTTTCTTTCCATTTCAACTTTTTTATAATTTAAATTTTTTCTCAATTCAGTCAATCGTGTAATTGTTTGCCCTACATATACCTTGCTAATAAAGAAGACAATTGATAATAATGAATTATTAATTCAGATAAATGACAATAAAATGAAAGGGATTAGGTGGAAGGATTTAATTTAAATATAGTTTTGGCTAGAAAGATATGATGGTTTTTTGAGTTCTTATGTTATCATTAGGAATCGCATTTTTAGTTTATAACCGTTTTTAGCGAAATAGTCATGATAAATTGAGTTTAAATTTGTTGTTATTTTTTAAAAATCCTTCTATACAAAGAGTTTTATCATCTATTTAAACCTATTTTGGCTTTTTTTAACCTAAACTGGGCTGTCAACTTTTATATTTATGGCCTATTGGATAAGTTATGAATGACAATTTGGCTCTGATGTTATTTATATTTTAACGAATTTAGATAATTATAAAAATTTAAAAAAATTTGTAATATATTTATCTATTAACTATTTATTTTTAATTTTAAATAAAACAAATATTTAAATTTTAATACTACAATTTAGCGAATAAAAATAAAATTCTTTAAAATAATATCTTTAAAATAAATATAAAATTTATTTCTTAATTTTATTTTTCACCAATTAGGTAAATTATCTTTTTTGATATATTTAATTCCAATAATAAAATCTTCTTCTAAAGGTGCAGATAATATATTTTTTATTTCATTTAAATAATTATTTTTTAAATTTTCTTTAACTTCTTTTAATTCTTTATCTAATTTTTCACTATTTATTTCCAACATATTTAACTCTTTATTCCCACAATAAAAATATTTATTTATTTCCAAAATTCAAAAGCGACTGAAAAATAATCAAAATTTGACGGTTTAAAAAGAGTGAAATTTGCGTGGGAAATATATATTAATCATAAAAAATATATTTTATTTATTTTATTCTCCGCCCAAAAAATTCTTTTCAATTTCTTTCCAAAATTTCATTCTGTTGGAAACACTCCCGGCCACCAATTAGTGTCGTCTCGGAGCATCCAATGCCAAAAGAATGAATTGTTTCATTTGCCACGCTTCAGACCACTTTGCCAAATATTGTCCCGTTAAACAACCCTGCAGTAGCAACACATTAATGCAGCGGACGACCAGCACAACCACCAACACATACACCCAAGACACACAAACAGCAATGCGCAGCGTCGCATCACAATTGACAAGAATGAGCCAACAGTGGACACATATCCCCACGATCTCAGCATTTTTACTACAAATGGCACAATTCATTCTTTTGGCATTGGATGCTCCGAGACGACACTAATTGGTGGCCGGGAGTGTTTCCAACAGAATGAAATTTTGGAAAGAAATTGAAAAGAATTTTTTGGGCGGAGAATAAAATAAATAAAATATATTTTTTATGATTAATATATATTTCCCACGCAAATTTCACTCTTTTTAAACCGTCAAATTTTGATTATTTTTCAGTCGCTTTTGAATTTTGGAAATAAATAAATATTTTTATTGTGGGAATAAAGAGTTAAATATTTTATTAAAGTAAGGGGCTTTAGAGATTTTTTACCCTATAAGGAAGGAAGAATAATTAAAAATATATAAAATTATTTTTCATATCACCAATTAGGTAAATTATCTTTTTTGATATATTTAATTCCAATAATAAAATCTTCTTCTAAAGGTGCAGATAATATATTTTTTATTTCATTTAAATAATTATTTTTTAAATTTTCTTTAACTTCTTTTAATTCTTTATCTAATTTTTCACTATTTATTTCCAACATATTTTTTAATTTAATTCCAATTAACCAACTTGTACATATCCAACCCTAAAAAATAAATATTTATTTAATTTAAATTCCAAAAATACTTTTAATTTTTTCCCATCTCTTTCGGGCATTCTTTATAATTTAATAATTTTAAAGGTTTAACATGACAGTAGTCTATTTCATCTACTTTTTCAATATTTTCCATTAATTCTGTACGCAATTGTGTTTCAACAAATTCACAAAATTTATATCCATGCAGAGAAGAAGGTAAATAAGAGCAATTAATTAGTAGAAATTGTTCATACTTAAAGTTGAAATTTAGATTATAAATTAAAGTAAAAAATAAAATAATTAATTGAAATATTCTAGAGATAAATATTTATTAAATTAGTTTTTTAATAAATGATAATTAGACATATTTTTATATTCAATTTTTTTATAATAAATAACGTTTATAGAATGAATTAACACAATAATTGATAATAAATACTTTCATAGTATAAATTAGAGTTGGAAAAGACGAGAATCAAATCGGATCCAGGGGCGGTATTCATAGAACGAGGTAGCGGATTAACCAACCCTCAGCTGCGGGTAAGTTAACCCAAAACCCTTATTCATAAATGAGGGTAGGGGCTCTAAGCTCTACCATTAAAATTTCAGAAAAATTTAAAAATTTTTTTAAATTTAAAATTTCATTTTAGACTTACCAGGTACCCTTACCTCGTTCTCTGAATACGGTCTCAGCTCAAAATGATGGTATCGGTCTCGGTATCGGGTTCTTGAGTACTGGTCAATCTCGGTCTCTGGTTGGCCGATACCAGTATCGTTTTTTCCAACTCTAGTATAAATCAGCCATGAATGTTTCTGTGCTTAGTAAATTTGCTAATTTTGTTATACCTATGTAGATAAGCAGTGCTGGGTATTTGCCATTTGTTGGCTCCGGCTCCGGGGTTTCAAAATCCTAGCTCCGGCTCCGGAGCTAGCTCCCGGTAAATGTTTATAAATTAATTTTTTATTAAAATAAATTTCCTAAATTTTTAATAAATTATTTTAATTTTTTGCTAACCAAAGAAGAAAATAATTTTTCATTCCCTAACCAATCCAACCATTTTTTATTTAGAATTTCTTCATCACAACCTTCCAAAATTTCCTTCTTTAAACTTTTTAATTTATCAAACCCTCAAAGAAATAAAAGTTATTTTTAAATTTTCAAAAAAGAAAACCTAATTTATTAATTAATTTAATTATTTTTGCTGTCGATTTATTTATTTTAATAAAAGAATTATATTTTGGAAATCCCAAAGTCAATATTGTCCATCCTGGATTCTCATTTTTTTCATTTAAAGATTCAATTTGTCTAAATTCTTTTTCTTTTTCAAAATCCCAAATAATTTCATTTTTCTCTTCTTCCAAAATTTTTATTAAAAATTCTTCTTCAAAAATTTTATGAAATTCTTCCAAAATTTTTCTAAATGACATATTCTGATTTTTATTAATTAAATTAAATGTCAAAACAATTAAAGCATTATTATTTAAAAATCCAAAATTATTTCCAAAAATAGAATTTTCTAAAAATATTTTTTTGTTTAATAAAATTATTTTTAATTTAAAATTACTTTTACACCATAATCGAAGTATAACAAATAATATTTTATAACGTTCTTTCGAAACATTATTAGAAACATTAAATAATTGCATCATTTTTTGATTTGAACGATAATCTAAATAAAAATTTTTGTTTAAATTTTGAATTTAGAATAATTATAATATATTAACTATTTTTTTACTTTCTACCCATCTTGTAATTTTTTAATAAAAATTAAAAATTAATTAAGATTAATTCTATTTAATCATGCCTATTTTCTGAAACGGTTTTGGATACTTTCTAAAATATTTTACAATAATTACCATGAATAAATAACTGCTATTTTTTGATTTTAAAACTTATTAATTAATTTTAACATATTTTAAATAAATATTTCTCTAAAAGATTGTAAATATTAACTAAATAAATTATTTTTAAATTGGAAACAAACCAGATAAATTAAAAATAAAATTGTTAGTCACAAAATCTTTCGGATTTAAAACATTCAAAGATTTTTCTAAAAATATTTGAATAGCTCTATCAATAAAAGAAAATCTTTTTGTTTTTTCAAAACTCTCAATTAATTTATTTACATCGTTTGGAATTAAAGCAAATTTAATATTTATATTTAAATTATTTAAATTAAATTTAATTAAAGGACGTCCAATAAATGTTTTGTATAAATTTTTAATTAAAATATTCTTTAAAAAATTAAAAATATTATTTTAATTAATTAATTAAAAATACTTGGCATAAAAAGCAATAAAAAGAAGAATCTAAACATTTATTTCTTCCATTTTCATTACACAAATAATTTCCAAAAAAATTATCTATTAAATTCATTTCATCATTTTCTTCAGTAACCAACAAAAAAATTCCTTCAATTTTAGAATAATCTTTAATTATTTTAATATTAACAATATTTGTAATTAATAAACGAGATATTTGTTTATTATCTTCATTCTAAATAAAAATGAAAATAATTTTTAAATTATTAAATTATTTTGAAAGGCTTGAACTGAAAAAATTAGATGTCAAAGGGAATAAAGTATAGGAATATTTAACATATGACATTAATTAATAAAAAAAATCCTTATCTAAAATGCTTTCCATTTTTTAAATTATTTATTCCTAAAGTATTGTTTCTGATTTAAGTTAACAATTTTTTAATTAATTAATTTACCCATTTATCAAGCTTTAATTTGTTTGTCAATTTATAATCTAAAGTCTCTTCTTCTTCATTTCCAAAAAATAATTTATTAATAAATTCATTTTTCATAAATTATTATTTTTGATTATTTCTTCCTCAACTATTCTTTGCAGCTAAACAAAATAATTAAAAAATGAAAAAAAAATTAAAAACCAAATTTTCTGCTTTCTCTTCATTTTCTAATTTATTTTTATTTTCAACTAATAAATCTTCAATTTCTGCATTTACTTGAGTATTTTCTTTAATTAATTCATTATTCTCTATATCCTCAAATATCGAAATTTTTTCAAAATTTTCTTTTTCTTCTTCATCAATTTCTAAACTTTCCAAAATTTTAATAATTTTATTTACACAATCAGTTGATCCAAATAAATCTTTTAAATGTTCTTTTGCTCTTTCATTTTTAAGTACTTAAATATTAAATATTTATTTTTCACACAACATAGACATATTTTAAAATTGATAAATTATGGAAAATAAATCTCATCAGGTTCTCTTATATTCTGGGACGTCTAATCAAAATTAAGTGAATAACAGAAATAAGACTCGGGGATCAGATGTGATGATTATCTGTTGATACCTTTATGTATACCTTTATATATAAATAGTGTTTTCTTGGCATTTTGGCCCTCTGAAAATCGTAAAATTTACATTTTTGGTAAAATCTGTTTATGGAATATCTAGACCCCAAAAATTTTCGAATTGATATCGGTTATCCAAATATTTTCCAAAAACACTTTTATTATTTTTAATTCTATAATTAATACCTTCTAAATAACCTTTTCCAAAATCTTTTTCTAAAATTAAATTTTTAAATTCATTAAACATCAAATCATTTAACCATTCATTAAATTTTATAAAACTTTTTTCTTCATTATCTTTATCATCAATCCATTCAATTATTTTTTTATTTTTAATTAAAAAATATATTTTATTTACTTCCTCTTTTAAATAAATTAATATTTCTTTTTCTTCTTTTTCTAATTCTTCAACCTCCATTTCAAATAAGGAATCGTATTTACTAGAAATTTTAGGCCTAATTTCTCCCCAAATTCCTTCCAATTTATTTACTAAATTCTTTTCAGACTCTTTTTCTTCTTTTAAATTTTTAATTTCATTATTTATATTTTTTCCACAAATAAAATATTTAATTCCCAAAATATTTTGAAGAAAAATATTTTTATTTTCCCCAAAAATAATTGAATAAAAATGTTCATTTAATTCAAAATTATTATTAAAAATATTATTTTTAATAAAATATTTTAATTTAAAATTTGGAATTAATTCTTCCAAACGAGTTTTAATTCCCGGAATTTTTAATAAAATAATTTTATTATTTTCAAAAAAATTTTTGTGTTCATTTTGTAAAAGTACACGTTGTTCCAAAAATGTTTTCTTTTGTTCTTCTTTATCTTCACATTCTTTCCCCTCCCAATTCAATAAATCTTCAAAAATAATTTTTTCTTTGAATTCTCTTTTTGTTTTTATTTTCTTTATTTCTTTAATTATTTGTTCAAAATATGATGTTTTTAAATTATATTTATTTATTCTTTGAATTATTATCCACATATTTTTTATTAAAAGACAAATACTTTTCAACATAGCATCACTATTTGACTCCAAAGATTCAAGAAAATAATTTTCAAAACTCATTGCATTTGATCCAATACACCCTAAAATCATTCTTTTCATTTCACCAATATTTTGTCCAGAATTTCTAAATAAATCTACTGATTGTGTTTCTAGTTGTTTTGATCGACTGAACAAAAATGAAAGAGAAATACGCAATTCGGCATCTATTGCTTTTTCTGATCCTTTTCTATTTAGTAAAAATTGTTGATAAAGACTAAATTGCATTTCTGGTAGCAAAATATCTTTAAAAATTATTTTATATAAATAATAAAACAATTTTAATTATTTTTAACATTATAGTTTATCATTTCTTGTTTAACTATAAAGTTAAAACTTGTTTTTTAATATCACTTTTTTGAGTCTAAAAATCGTAGGTACACTAAACTTAGTTATCTCTCTCATTCAGTAGCCAACCATCTTTAATATTTTTGGATCTCTGTATGTTATATTAATAATATAATTTAATATTTTAATTAAAGATTGAGACAGGAAGGTAATTTTTTAATCAAATCTGACAGTAAAATATTGTTTTTTAGTTTATAATTGTAAAGCATATAGCTATTAATTTCCTAAGGCTGAGCAGTAGGCGGCGTGGTGTAATGGCTAACACATCAGTCAGGTCTACTGAAGATGCTGGTTCGCTCCCAGCCGCCGATTAACCTTTTGCACTAGCTAAAGGAGAGAAATAGCTATAGCCCAGCTGCTTTACTTGATTTGTATTAGAATAATTTTTGATAAAGATTGAGACAGAAAATATTCTCATATTTTATTTAAAATTAAATTTCCCTTTATGACAATATTTTTTTTAATTTAAATTTTCGATCTAAACTAACTAATATATAAAGTATATGGCTGAACAATTTCAAGCTTTTGTAATAACTCCTCGCCCATTAATCGTAAAAGCGCTTCCTTCAATTTTATAACATTTTCAAGATTAAAGGTGCAAAGTAATTTATTCACATTTAATGAATAGCCAATTATCCAATAAAAATAATTATAATAAATATTTTCCTCCTTTTTTATTTTAGTTTCATTATCGAGTAAATTAATCTATGAAGGTTTAAAATTAAAATTTAATTGAGCTAGAAAATCAAAAATTAGAAGAATATTAAATTCTAATATTTAATTTAAATAAAAAATTTTCAAAAAGATCTTTTACATAAAGGCTCTAAATTTTCACTTTAAATATAGTTAAAAATCTTTAATTTAAAATTAACCTCGTTAATATATTCATTTATTTCATTTATCCATAGAGGAAAAACAATTTTTAAAGGATTCTTTTCTTTAATCATTCTCTCAATAAGTTTATGCTTTTTATCAATTATTTCAATTAATTTATTAATATCATCTACCATTTTAATTGACAAAATTTTTTTCATTTCATCATTAAAATTTTCGTAAATTTTGGATTTTAAATTTTGGAATTTAATTATTATGTCATCATAATAGATAATTGCTGCTTTTAAATATAATAATTTGTTCATTTCTTCGTCACTTATTAAATGTTTAATAATTGTTAAATGTAGTTCACTTTCATCTAAAAAATATTTTTGTAAAAAAAATTTGATAATTAATAATTTATTAATTACGAGCGTTTTGGTGCCGCTTCGCGGCACCAAAACGCTCGCTCATAGCCTTTTAATGTTTTATTCACACTCACCCATTTAAGAACCATAGCCCCTTACTTCACTCGTTGACGGACACTCACACCCATTAACGGATCGAAACCCAAAATTTATACACTTACTCCCAATTATCACCCTTTGCCCCATTCCGATATCCCTCTTTCCACAATTCTCTTTTTCGCCATCCAAAATCCTCAGTTAAGTCAATTAATTTCGCTCTATCCCAGTTAGCACCCTTTTTGCCCAAAATCCCAGTTATTATCCTTTAGCCCCCAAATCTTTTGATATCCTTTTTAAACACCTTCAATTACAGAATCACCGGTTCTTTGTTCAAAAACCACCCCCCCCCTATTTGAGTCCTTTTATTCTTTCTTGCCTATAATGTCAAATTTTATCTTTAGAAATGGTTTTGCCGTTAGATTAATTTTTTCCTCGTCTATTTTTTCCTTCCTTTTAACGTGCCTTTTACTTTTGTATTTTGGGAGAAATAAATGTTTTTCAATAAGGAAGGAAAATTAAACTGTGACTCAAATAGGGGGGAGGGGTGGTTTTTGAACATAGACCGAATCACCTTTTATCTCCAAAACCACCATATCTTTCGAAAACCTCTTCCTCTTAAACCAGGGTTCGGATTCGTACTTATTTT